AATCTTCTTTGAACGTTGCAGTGGCTTCAGAAGTGTTTGAGGATGACAACGGCAGCAGCTTCATATCCGAAGAAGATTCGGAAACTCAGTCGGTGTCCAGCTTCAGCTCTGGTCCTACGAGTCCCTGTGAGGTGCCCACTCAGTTTCCTCCCGCGACACGACCTGGAAGCCTGGATCTGCCCAGCCCTGTATCCCTCTCAGAGTTCGGGATGATCTTTCCTGCCCTCGGCCCCCGCAGCGAGTGCAGTGGGGCATCCTCCCCCGAGTGCGAAGCCGAAAGAGGTACGCACAGCTGGATACGCCCCAGGCCAATGCTTTTCAGCTTTATAAAGGGAGCAGGAAAACCTTCTCAGCTCCCCTAGGCATTTCGCCAGCTCGCTGAGCTCTGACCCGCTGGCCGCTTCCTTGGGGAAGGCAGTTCTTGAAGGCCCCCTGCATCCCACAGTTAATGATGACATCTAAAATGTTTTCATTATTCTTCTCCTGGCTGGGAAGGTTGCCCAGATCTGTCTCAGTGGAGAGGTTCGAGGTATCTCATGAAATAAGGCATCAGTGGGATTCTGATGGTACATTTACTTTAAGGAAAATCTGAGTTTAGGGGTTTTTGTTTTTTGGGTTTTTTTTGTAAATTACTCTCCTGCTTGCTGAAAATCCTGCTTCCCAGGAAAAAAAAAAAAAAAGAAATAACATGCCAAAAGGAACCTCTTGCAGGCTCTGCCAGCCCTTGCTGACAAATTCAGACTAGAGGATTACCACCGCTCTTGTGTACTCCACCCTAAGGCTGTTGGCACGGTAGTTTGCTGATGCAGTGCACAAGACGAGCGCGGCTCGGGAGGCCGACTTCGGTTTCGTTAAAGCATCTTGCTCCTGCTCCTATTAATTTTTTGCGCGCTCTGGCAAAGGAAGCTGCAGAGGCACCCGCTTGAAGCTTAAGTTGCAGAATGAAATCCGGGTTTAACATCTAGTTTAATCCTTTCTTTGCAGGGGATAGGGCAGAAGGGGCTGAGAACAAGACAAGCGACAGAGTGAACAAGAATAGGAGCAGCAACAGGAGCAGCTCCGCTGAGGGGCTGGCTTTGGATAACCGAATGAAGCAGCTCTCCCTTCAGTGCATGAAAATCAAAGAGGGACTATGCGCAGGCAGAAAAGCTGCCCAGATTGGCTGAGTCCTTCTCGTGCCCCGTCCTGATTAATGGGAGTATAAATATTTATACGTGAACTTCTAAGTGTTTGAAGAACATCGTGCCAATAATATATGCCAAATCTTAAGCGTTTACTCTAAGAATTTAAAACTGCACTACGAAGTCTAATTGATGTGGAGGGCTGAAGTTTTTATTCAGTAAATCCTTTGTAGGCCGGACGAGTTATCAAATGTTTAAGCCGTGCTCGTATTTCACAGACTTTGTAAATTGTTTTGTAGCAGCCTGGCTGAAGCAATAACTAGTAATGTTCCCGTGGAAATTCATGCCAGCAGGGGGTCTGAAATTCAAGCCAGACATTCGCAGAGAACGGTTTGGCTTCAGTTTTGTAGAATGAAACGCTCTTTAGATACAGTGGATCTCTTGAGTATAAGTGGCATATTCTTTAAACATCTGTATTTGTCTGTATTATGCTGAACCTGTAGAAATACTTTGTATACGGGAAAGCTGTTGCATGTGTGGGGTCTAAAAGCCTTCGCTCTTCCCTTGGTGCTCACAGAAAGGATAAAGATGAGTCACGCCTCTGAAAAGCGGGTGTTGAGAGAGGGACAGAAAGGGGACAGTAATGCTCGGCGGTGGGTGGGCCCTTTTGAGCCACCTGCCTCTGACTCCGAGGGTGATTCCAGTGACCAAAAAGAGTTGGTTGGCCCCTCGCCATAAGAAGTGAAGTATTATTTTTCAGCACTTTAAGTGGATTTTTTTGGGTTTTGTTTTTTTTTTTTTTCTTCCCTCAAAAATGGGAGTCATAGATGTTTTTGGGACAGTTACGATAAGGGATTCGCCCTTGAAATATGCATGAAGAAAAGGAATTGCCAGTGTAGATTGACAATGTGTTCTTAAGCTTCTCCGTAGGTTGTACTGTGTGGGGTTTTATAACTGTTAAAGGGACTTGGGATTTTAGTATGCCCTAGAGAAAGCGTTCAATAAAACTAGAAAGGGCAGGGGCATGTTTTGCCAGCAGCTGTTAGGCAGTAGTAGTGTCTGGTAATTATGCTAATAAGTGGTAGTAAAAATCCTAGGACTCTTCAGTTTTGGTGGCTAAGCATTTCTGAAAGCACCATTTTATCTAAGATGTCAGTTTATATTGTTAATTTGATGGGAATTTTAGTATTGCCCAAAGTATTTTCTATTCTATGTTTTTGCAGTCCTGTTGTACTTCGTCCCTGCCACAGCTTGTGTATCTATTCTCAAAGTTAATGTAAAATTCTTCACACTACAGTAAACATTTTTGTTTTCCACATTTCGAGTCCGTGCAAGCTAAGTCTATCTCAAGTGCTAAGAACCGAACCTTCTCCCACAGCAAGTTTGTCTTTAAATATCCACTTCCAGTCGAAGATTGCAGCCCGGTGTCACTCTGGTGTTGGAACCCTTAGCGGTATGTGGATGACTGTTACCTCCTTCCACCTTCCTGAATCCCCAGATCCATGATTTGCTTTTTGTTCTGAGTCCAGAAGCTTTAGTCAAGTTTTCCAAAATCCCTTAGTATGCAGAAGAGAGGAAGGTATTCTGCTACCTAACACCTCTGTACTTAATGCTGCTGAAATTTGCTGCAAGGCCATGCAGAATTGGAGGTAAAGAAACCTGTTTTCATAAAAATTAGATGCAACATGTTATAGTGGTGAAGCTGCAGTAGCTTTAAATATTTATACATTTACATCTTGCAAAGACCTAAAGGCTGAACTCTGCCATTGGTAGCACTTCCCAGCCCAGTAAATGCTTAAGAAAGAAGTTGGTGGTTCCAACTTCTGATGTGACTGATGCTTGGGGAAAGCTGGAATCAACGGTATTAAATACGGAATGAAAAGCAGTACAGAAGTGCCACATTGTATTCGGTGTTCTTACTTCTGTAATTAAGCTATTGTCTGTGCTGCATACAGTTAGGAAAATTAGCAGAGATATTTGTGGTTGAATATCTTATTTTTGCAGACTTGCTAGTCAACCCCTCTTATGCTTTCCTGGGTTGTTTGGGTATTTTGGGGTTGGTTTTTTGTTTCTTTGCTGTTTTTTTTTTTTTTTTTTTTTTTTTTTTTTTTTTTTTTTTTGTTTTTGCTTTTGGTTGGCTTTTTTTTTTTTGGTTCCTTTGGGGTTTTTTTTTGTTTCTTTGGTTTTTTTTGTTTCTCTGTTTGTTTCTTTGTTTGGTGGGTTTTTTAACCTCTCTTGCTGTTGAATTTCCTCTCATCTTGCCAGTTCTGACTGGAAACCCAAACTCCCTGCATTTGGGCGATGACTTAATTTTATGTTCGGCAGGATATAAAAAGAGTTGTGTGTGCGGCCTTGCCTACGTCCTGATGGGGTTCAGCTCCCAGCAGGGTAAAACCATTGATCAGGAGGTACTAAAGAGGTGGAACCCACCATACCCTTACTTTTACACCATGCTTCTGCAAGGTTTCTTTAAAGACCTTGCTGCAGCCTTCTTCTGGACTTGGCAGGTAAATCGCACTTTGAAGGTGCAAGTGAACAGGCAGAACCACGTGTCTAATAAATTAATGGAAAACTCATTTTATTTTAAACTTCATAAAAGCCGTAATTATAAATATGACAAACTTAAATGAACATACATCGCTAACGGAGTACAGGCAAATGAACAAGCTTTTTCCAGCTGCAGCTCTTTCTGCATTCTGAAGTGTAACATGATGGTAGCTGCCTTCATGGGTACAAAAATAAGCCTCTGGTGTATCAAAGTATACGTGATCAGTTCAGCTGCCCCAAAGTGAGAATGTATAAAGCAGATGTTAACCTAGGAATTCTGCTTCTCTTTGGTTTTATCAAACAATTTAAATGTCCTTTTTGATGAAGCGATAAAAATCTCTACTTGCACGTACACAAACGTAATTCCAAAGAGCTGGCTGTTCAAACACAGCGCAGATTGGGTGGTCAAGGGAACTAGGACTGAATCTTGAACTCATGGGGTGGAGGGGATAGAAGTTGCTGCTACCGCTCGTCCGTGTCCTACTGCTCACCAAGGCCTTGAGAAGCAATGGATCGCATTAACCAAGGACTCCCTTAAGAAAACAGACTGGGGGGTGTCCCACCCCAAGCTATGAACAGCAGCATTACGGGACCTTGTATGGAGCTTTAAGGTAGGGTTTTTAAAAAATAAAAATAAAAAAAATACACAGAACAGGCTTTGTGGTGCATAAGTAAGGAGAACGTGAAAGCTTCTGAAAACGCTATCTCCAGTTATCCTTCCGCGCTGCTGGTAGAGAATTAAAAAATCACTTCTTTGTAGCAGTCGTCCCTTAGTGAATCAAAGAAAGTGTAAATCCTCTTAAAGCCCCTTACAGCAACCGGCTTTCGTTTTGTCAGTTACCCCTCATGCTGTAGTTCAGAACTGTATGGTGTGCGACAAACAACAGGAGTACAGGATGCTTGGTGCTACATTTTATGGGGCTTTGTGTTTTAATGTTTAAAAGCTTGACTTGAACGTTTACAGGCAGAGAAGACTGAAGGGTCAAGAGGTGCACGACTGTCTGACTGGAAGTACAGTAACGTGACCAGTGTACCTTTGTTACAGTCTGAGCTGCGGTGCCGCTATTTCAACTTTTGCACACGCAAGCCTTCTGAGTCTTGCTGCATAACGCTTCCATCAGCATCTAATATTCTCTGTCATACAGATCAAAAAAGCTAGATGAGGTAGGGGAGGAAAAAAGCTTAACCTATGTCTGAGGCCGTGATATCATCTAAGGATCATTTCATTCTCCAATAACTTTTCCAGATTTACTTGTGGAAAAAATATGTAAGTATTTGACAGAAAATATCAAAGCAAATCTTAAGTGCTTACATGAACACTTTTTTTTTCCCCCTAAGAAAAAAGGGCAAGAAAACTTTATTGTAAAATTACCTTGGCATAAACAGAATCTGCAGACTTATTTTTAAGAATGTTTTGTATTTCCTTTTAAATGCCCCGCCTGAATGTTCTGTCCTATACATGAAGGGAAATGTACAGTGACCGTATTCTAGTAGCCTGTATAGGTGCAGTGTTTTGAGTCGGGCTGTCCTTACAGAGGACACTGCTACTAAGCTTAAATCCTGTGCAGTTACGGGGATGAGCCCAATCCTCTGTGTATGTAAGAGTGGAGACAGGATCCTTTGTCCTTAATGCCTTTGTCTGGCATTAAGTTGCATATGTTCCTCGCTCTGAGTTCAGCACAGTGTGGAAGCTGAGCTTGTTTCCTCCAGCATAAGCTTTTGGTGCTAGCTTGTGCTTGTTGGGGGTCAAAAAAAAAAAAAAAAAAAGGGAAGAAGGAAAAAACCCAAAACCCCTTCCTGCAGAGTAGAAACCAACGAGAGAAGACCAGCCCCCGATTTTACTGTTGGCAAGATGTGTAAGAACTTAGTACCAAAAGCTGGCAGTTCTGGCAGCTGCCTTTTGTACTGTCAAAAATACACTCAGCTGAGACTTCCTACCTACCTCTAACTTCATAGGTGATAAAATACATGCAAGGTTCTGCTGCCCCTCTGGTTTAGCCTAAGCTAAAAACATAATTCAATTTTGTAGGGATGAAGCAGTCCTTTGCGCATATTCCCAAAAGCCAAGGATAACCACAATAAGCCTAATTTATTTTTTGCTCAGCTTGCACCCATGCTGTTCCCTGTGTTGATTTGGTGCAATAATCATCAGAAACTTCCTTGCAAAAGAAGGTAAGTCACACTGTGACAAACTTGTCACAAATTTCCTAGCCCAGATGGTCTTTGAGAGAACGGCAGTCAGAGAGGCCTGTGTTTTCAGTGCCCTTTTAAAGCTAGACATTTGCTAAGCAGCTGCCTGATGAGGGAAACAAAACAAAAGGGAACTTATCCTTTCTGGAGAGGGTTAGTAGCAGACTTCTACAAGAACAATTTTAGCCCACAGATAATATTTCTGTTACTCCTGTGGCCTGTGGGCTCAGTTTCCCAATGACCAAGTGGCACCTGCGCTCCAAAATAAGATTTAAATGCTACCTTTTTGCTTGGAAAACTGCCAAGCCAAACCTGAGCAGCGAAGAACTTCCTATGGCTGTTTTAAAAACGCCCTCTCCCCCAGCTGTCAATTTTAAGTCTGCCATCTGTAAAAAGACAAATCCCAATGCATTTTAGGATCAGTGAGGCAGTTGGTATTTAAATTAAAAAGAAAAACTTGGTTATCTTTAATCCACTTCAGATAAAATCTATATAGATCTAATGGAGGAAGACTATAGATCAGAGGCTTCTGAAAAAAAAAAAAAAAACAAACAACTTATTCCACCATTTTCTTAAGAACTTTGACCTTACTCCTACTGACGGCACTGGCCAAGCGCGCAATTCATTCACTGGTTTCAACTTAAAAAAAAGTTACCTTTTAAAAGGTATCTTGTATAATGGGATCAGCAAGTGTGTTTCTTGCGGCTGTGGGTTATTAGGGGGAGAGGTCTAAATGATCCTTCCCTGACACGCTGAATTCTTACAAAAATATTGAGGACAAAACATTTGCTTGCTGGGATGCCGATGATGGGCAAGCAGGGCTACCTCTGTAGACAGAGGGGATCCTACAGTGCGGCTTTAGACAAAAACCTTTCACACCTGCCAAGGGAAGGGCGTGCAGCACTGTCTGCGTGCTCCTGCTGGCTGACCTCCTAATTTTACTGCCAGTCTGGATCAAGCTAGGTCTTGCAGCTAGTAGGAAGAAAGCCACAGAGTACCTCGCGCTGTAATATTATGTATAAAGTCCTACAGATATGCAATCAACAGCTCACCAAGTACATGGAACGTGAGTAAAGCCATTGCTTTTCTTTTAGAAATAGCCGAAGGGAATCTTCCTTTTCCTTTACTCCTGTGTATGCGTTCTAGATAAGCTGGAATACTACTACTGGAATGCGCAGCAGTAGTAAATTTACATTTAGATGTGAGAACTAGTTCAATGCTGAAAACATTCAAGCTAGCAGCACAAACGTGTAGCAGAAGCTATTTGGTCCTGAGAACGAATAAGCAGAATACACAAGACTTTTTCTTTTTTTTTTTTTTCTTACATGTTTACTTTTAAGAATAAAGTCTTAACCCCACATACCCTGTATTTTGGGAGAAGAGGTCAATGGTAGTTTTTCTCTTGACTCACTAGACTTTGATTTGAAGTGTGAAAAAAATCCAATAAATGCAGTTCTGCCAGTTCATTTGACTATAAGCATTTCAGCCCACTCACAAGCCTGTTGAACACCGTAGCAGCAAAAACTACAGCTGTCTGCCACACTGAACTGGTGGATCGGTGACTCTGTGCTTTTGGCTCTCACTTAGAATGTAATTTTCTTGTATGTGTAGTAAGAGTTATTCACCTGTTCTCAGACTGTAGGAGAGATCAAAACCACCTCCTTAAATGGCAATACACGGATCTGTCTCCTCACTGCAGCTGCGATACCTTAAGAGGAGCACAACTGTTAAAGTCTAAGAAAAAAGGACCCTCTTGCTGAGGCAGGAATGTGGTGGGGATAATGTTGTAAACTCCAGCAAATATGTTCTCCACTTCCAAGTAGCAGAATCCACACCTATGATAAAAGAAGCCACCTCTTAGTTCTAAGTTCTGAAGTATGTTTCAAACCTCTAAGACTTCATTAAGTGAGTATTACCTGTAGTCACCACTGCTTTTTTTCTGAAAGCCATAGGAACCAGGATCTCCTACCGTCGAGACCATGACGAGTTCAAAGCCAACGCTGTATTGCCTGCAAGTGATGTGACAGACTGTCACTTCAGTTGTTTGGGTCATCAGTATTACCGTGAAGAGGGCTATTTATGAAAAACTACACAGCATAACTGGATGACATCTAGAAGTTTTGTCCTGTTTGTGACTGAAACCTTAGGTTAAACTTGCCACGACACGAATGTAGAATTTGGAGGAAGACTGAACACAGTTCAGGTTCAGAACTAGGCTCTGTGGAAAATCCCTGCTAGAAGTCTGCCTCTGCATTTCAGCAGACTTTAAGTAGTTAAACTTGCAGTGACATGCTCCGACAGCACAGATCCTGGGCTGTGATCTAATTGCCATCAGATGGATCAATGTTAGTGATCTCAGCAGAAATTTCCTATGTTGCACTGTAACTTAGGACAGTTTGTCTCCTCCCTGTTAACGCATCTGACAGGCACCACTGCCCCTGCCATTCAAAATACCCAAATATGCTCTGCAAGTGCAGGAAAAGAATGCATACAAAACCCCGCTCAATTAGTGGAACAGTAGAGCCACACCTTTGCTACTCATCTCCAGTACATGAGAGAGGGCGTTTCCCCAAAGAGGGGAGGATGGATAAAGAAGTGCTGCCATTTTGTGGTGCCCACTGTACAGCTTTGCAAAAGACAAACACTTGACTGGCCGGCAGGAGATGTTGCTATTTAGAAGTGCTGTATACTGGTATTTGGAGGTAAATGGTGAATTTTGCCAAAGGAATCTGACCTGTGTGGGCCTACTCTGTAGGGCACTGACATCCAATACTTCTCCGGGCCTGCTAGTGGCAGAGTAAACGCATTTCCAGAGCTGAGGCTACTGCATAAGTTTTGTATCCTGCATATTAGCTCTACTACAAAAGAAAAGGAACTATGACCATAATTAGTTTTACGAGGAAGAAAAATTCCTTTGTACCTCCTTCCCTTCTGTGCAAGGCCTAGCTCTGCTCAGACCCAAAAACTAAAACGAAAGAAGTGCTTCTGCTTTCCTTGTAGGTCAAGGATTTCCTCAGTAGCACACGTGCAGGTTTAATCCACTGTTGCTGGTGAAGTTAGAAATATAAATAGTGCTAAATCTGAGCCACCTCCTGTACCTTGTCTTCTAGATTTTCAGGGAGCTTCCCACCCTCCCCCTGGAGGATACTGACAAAGCTTTATCTTTAGCATGTAATACTCTCGCTGCATTGATGCACCCTTATTCTGTACAAACCTTGGTCCCCGTAGTTCAATTAGTAATGGCCCATTCTTGTCCAGCTGGAATTGGTAAATGGGATTATTTTTGTAGGTGTCTCTGAAGTTTCCACATCCTCCAGCACTGTGACCTTTCCACTGTCCATTAACCTGAAAGAAGTCGGAAGTACAGAAAATGCTTTATATCCTGAGGATTTGTATCGCTTACTCATACAGGCAAACAGGACTGGAGGCTCCTCTCACTTTAGTGGTCACTGACTCTAGTAATCTCTCCTCATTTCTAAAGTGCAAGTGAAAGACTGTTAAGTGCTCAGCAAGTTTCACTGCAGTCCTCCACCCACCTCGACCAAAGCCTCAGATCCCTTACCAGTGTATTCTTCAGCTTACATTTACTGAGTAGCTGTTTCTGACTACGTCAAATTGCATCTAACAAAGGACCTATACTCCCATCTGCCCCATGACTATTGGCCTGTGCAGGTTATTTTTTCGGCTCAAAGACCCCCCTGTTGCGCTGAATGAGAAAACCAGAGCGGTACAGGAAGCGCACGCTACCCATGTTGTACCCTTTCCTTTTGAAATCGCTGCCTCCAGCACTGTCCGTTCACCTCTATGCACTCTGAGAATCAGCATTACAGGAACAAGATACCTGTATGGACAGATTCTACAAGGACAAAGATGTACAAGAGGAAAAATGCTGCTCAGACTTTGAGAAACAGGCCATCTGTTTGCAAGTGCCTCCTGCTAGTCATTAAACTGAAAGGTTAGACTTACAAGACATGCCAGGCATTCACACAGATTTATAGCAGAGATCCATTTCTCCTGTTACTTCCCTCCCCTTTCTGTCAAACCAGCAAGGAGCAGCATTTTCTCTTATGATTTAATTTCTTTACTCAGTGTCCAAAAACCTCAAGCGTGGCAAGCTTGGAAGCAAGGGGGATTTCTCCCCCTGCCCCACTACTACCCAGGAACCTAAAACTGCTGTCTGCTGTTAGCTTTCCAGGCCTTTTCCACCTCAGTGGAAACTTAGTTCCAGGAATCCCCCTGGGGCTTGGTGTGCTCCCAAGGTGATCACTCAACTTTAGTATAAGCCATGCAACAGAAATTGCTTTTACTGTTAAACTGTGAATTAGTTATCATCTGCTTGGTTTTAAGTGTGATGACTGCTAAGCAAGCACCAAATAAGCATTAAGCACAGGTGACTAACTTTTTGTATTTAGTCAGAGACACAGAGCTGGCCTTGGACAGCTAAAACGTGCCTTTTATTTGAATACTAGACAGACATCTTCAAACAATTAACAGGAGCTTTCCACATACCTAATTTTCTTTTGAAACCAGTATTAAACAGATGTCCTGCCTCAAACAGGCTGGTCACCTTCAGTAATTTTTTGACTTCTTAAAGTATTCCCCCAAACTAAGCCCAGTTTAAGAGCTAAAAAGGACAATGATTTCTGGAAGAACCTTAATGTTCCCAGGGATCTCTCTAACCGCCTACCATTCTGCAGAACGGGCTAGCTTCAAAGGGCTGTTGCAGAAATAACAGCTGCTATGAAACCCTGCCTGAATTTAAGAGCCTGGCTGCCAGGCAACCCGTCCCCTGACCACACAAAGTAACGTAATCCTTGGTTTCAGGCATGAGTGCCCTAAAAAATGGACCGTTGCACTGTGGCTCAAACTAGCCCCGTTTCTCTCTTCCTGAAGAGGTTACTCTTTGGACAGAAGACTTCTGCCTATAGTAGGATTCCCTGGGGTATGCATGGTAGGTACAGGGATTACAATTAACAACTGCTGGCTTATTCTTTCTTGAGGATAGAATTGCTAATACATGAAAATACATGCAAGTTACTTTACCCTGTGAGCTCTTGGCTGTATTTATACTTCAGCTGAAGGTATAACTGCAGCTCGTGTTGACAGCTGAAATACAAACAGGCCCCCAAACTGCCTGGGCTTCTGACTGAAATTTCAGTCAAGTTTTTTGCTCTTGCCCCTGCTGCTGTACTCTCGGGGAGCATTTCTACACGGTACATACCACAGGTATATTGCCTTGATCCTGTTTGGCAGTGTGAGTGCTTATCCCAATGTGGCTACAGACCTTTTGAGACGTCTTTGCACAATTTAGGAAGAGTAATGCATTGTGATATTGCCATCCTAAGTCCATTTGTCAGTCTTGCTACCGGTGCCTTTGGTTTGCCATTGGTGATTTTGTCCCATCATGCCAAGAGTTCTTCCAAGAAAATCAAATCATGCAATTCTCTCAAGGGAAAGTGAGCAATGCTCTTGTGGGGTTTTTACTCTGCAGTAGTACTAGCACAATCTGATCTCTGCAGAGTAATTACATTTTAGGGTACAGGTTGTATTCTAAAGGCTGGTCTATTCTACAAAGGCTTTACAGTATATCTGCAATGGTACAGCTATAACAACACACTCTGCAACAAAGGTGGCACCAAATGCCAGTGGAAATTAAGCCACCATCCACACAGAGCGACGTGAACGGCGAGCCAGCCCAAGGACTTCTGTGCTTGTATCAATTATGCTAACTGTGCAGCTAATTGTTTGGCAAATTATATGTAACTTGACTACAGGATTGGTCTTGTGCTAATGAAACTTAGATTAAGCTTTAGTTAAGAAGTTTCATTTGTTACAAGATGGCGTAAGCTGGCGCTTTTGGGCGGTAGTATAAAAATATATTTAAAAGCCTTGTACATTTCAAATATAGGAAAAGTCAAACCAGAATTATTATCCAGTGACCCATAAAAGCAAATACTTCTTTACCCGTTTGGAAATGGTGTATGGTGTAGGAATCTTGGAAAAGGTGAACTTGCACAAGGAATACACCTGTGTTGTAAAAGAATAAGCTGGTCACACATTCATCTTGCACATTTCATACAAAATCATGACATGTTAAAAAAAGCAGAATTGCCTACACATCATTTTTAGATACTTGTTCATTACATGCCTATATTACTCATCAGACGACCCCATCTGAAAGTCAAGATCCAGAACATTGCTGGGACTAACAAGACTTAATTCTACCTAGTTTTTATTAAAAAAAGCAAAATGGAAACAATCTGCATTTTACTTTTTTCAGTGACAGAGACATCTAGCATTGACCATCCCATGACTCAGCAGTACAGAAAAACCCAAATACTGAGTGCAAGGACTTAGAGAAGTCAAAAAACTTTATGTAAGTCTTAACTAGGATCTACAATAGGCTTATTTTGGATACATAGAGAGCCAATGCTCTGCCTGTACACAGATATTAATTTTTTATTCTAGGAAATAAAAGTATTTTTCAGCTAATTTCATTACTAAAAACCACACACGCTGTATTGTCTCAACTATAATGGAGAACATTATCAAGCACTGCATCCAGTGGTTCTGCTCCATCATTCATAGCCTCCCTCACCAAAAATAACAGTATCAATCCAGAAGTACATTTTTTTTAATCAAACTTACAAATAAAGGACACTTTATAATTTAATTGTTTACATTCATTATTAAATCAACACTACATACCCTGATGGTGTAATGGATAGTGTTTTGTTTCTCATATTGGGACACCACTAAGGTAAACGTATGGGGCCCTGGAGAGGTCAGCTTTATCTTGGTCAGATAGTGAGGACTGTTGATCCGAATACCATCAATATACGGAGGAGGATCAGCTGAAAAAGAAAAGGAGGAATATTTTTCCCCGATCAAAAAATCCTCCAGTGTGGCAAACTTCTTAGCCAATTTGTATCAGTGAATTTTGCCAGGGAAGTCAGATTGTTGGTACTAAGGTTAGACTGTAAGCAGACTTGAATGCTCTCAAAAAAAAAAAAAAAGCCTCAAGATTTGCTCATAAAAAGGACAGATAATCTTAAGAGCAACTATCATTTTCAGGAGAGGTACATCACACATGACAGGACACAAATTCTGCATTTGAAAGTACAGCTTAAACCCCATGACTTGCCAGAACTGCTTATCCATCTCCCACCAATGTCACTACTTCAAAGGAGACCTACTGTGACGATGCTGAAATTTAAAGAGAAAGATAAGGAATGTTTGAGCACTCTATAAACATCCCTGAAGTGGCTGTTTCTTCTCCCTTGGCTGGACAGTTCCAGAATGCAAGCTGCCAAAATCTTTGGCCGCTAAGTAAACAAGATTTTAAAACATGTTAATTTCTTTAACTAACTGACACACACTTTCTCTCTCTCCAAATTCTTGTGATGATTACACAGATGTAGTTGCATCCAAGTACCAATGCACATGCAGTACTTATTATAAACATCCCAAATATTTGCTTTTACAATTAGACAATGTAATGTGTTATTTGGCCTCTAATTGGTTCTTTCCAGACTTCTTTTAATTTCAGTGAAGCAGGAACAAGTCTAGCCAATTACTTCAATAGGCCCAGGATCAGGTCCTTTTATTTACTTCCACAAAGAAACATGGGAGAGGGGAAAGGATTAATATAAAACAATGAGAAGCTTAGGAATGGGAAATCTTGGCCTCAGTGCCAAGGGATTAACCTGCTTTGTTCTGATCTCATTTTAACAGATGGTAAAAATAAAACTGCAGCTTGACCAATCTATTTCCACAGATGAAGGTTTTAAAGGAGTTTGAGCTCGTGAGATTAAAAGTTTATAAAACAGTTTGGGTAGCGAGACAAAACATATGCATCATCCAGTCCTTGCTAGTGGTCTCGCTGGAAGACTGTGTCTTTGAAGTACAACTGAACAATTCCCTCCACTATACAAATATGTTTGGTTTGCCCACTTAAGAATGTTTTCAGTAAGACAGCATGTAAAATAGGGACTGCTACAAGTACTAGCAACACCAGAAGCACATCTTGGGCCGTAAGGAGAAGCAGGTGCTTTAACAAGATCAGCTCTTGCAAAAACAGATGATTTGGTCAGGCCTCAACAGATGCTTTCCACAGAAAGACAGCTTGGATTCTAGGGGAATTGGTCAGCAGAGTTCACTGAACAAGACCAGAGATGAACAACGCAACGCTTACCAGCCATTCCAATAGGAAAAAACCCACAAATCCCACTCTTTGGTGAAGAGAGCTTTATAAGCTACTCTCTAATTAACTGTTGGTATTACCTGTTGCATGAGCAGCTACCTGAATGCCACCCTGGTTCGAAGGAGGTTCCCTATCTGTAAAAGCAACAGGCCAAATCCTAACTGCCTTAGGATGCGCCTTCATTGAATTATTCCAAGGACTACTTTTACAGTAACTTGATGTAAAAATAAATAAAAATATGATATTATTAGCTCTACCTTAAAGTCGCACTCTACCCTATCCATTCAACCTGGGCATTACCTTTACTTTCTGTGTCTCAACCTGTGTTTCAGATCTGCTATCTGTCTTGAAATAACACATAAATGGCTTTTTCGCAGCTACAACAAAGCCCCAAAAGCCAAGCTCCTTCTTCTCAAAGTGAGTAGAATCTGACCTATACTGACCAAGAGTAATACTTTGATAAAATTTGAACATCTAAATATTTTTCTTAAACATTCTATACCTCATACTTCAAAACACGTTTAAGTGTTCAGCTATATCTCATGAGCTTGCTTAGGTACTTTGCTAAGCCAAGTTCACAGAACAATTAACCTTGATTATTTTCATTTAGTGGAAGCAGTATACCTTTAAATAATTTCACAAATCTGGGAAATAATTATGCTATCAGATAAACAGAAGCACAACATCTGTTCCCTCTAAGCATTAACTACTGACACTGCAAAAATCAACAGAACAATAAAGAAAGTCTGTGCCTAATTAAGTGTCAGCAGGATTACGCAGACCTCTTAGTGTGCTTCAAACATGTACAGCTTGGTTTATTCCTTCAGTGTAGACTGTTGAAGGTGGTCAAACAGGGCTAAACAACTATTTCAGAAGACAGACCTCTTTGAGTGAGGCATCTAGTTTTAAAGCAAAAAAGTGCCTTTCCTTTCCACAAAATCCTTTGCAATTCTTCATTTATTTCCAACATCATCTTCTTGACAATTAAGGTACACTAACCTGGATAGTAAACTTTTTTGCCATCAGTCTTGTATACAACCATTGTAATGAATTCCCGATTGTGTGCAAAGTCATCCTATTAAAAAAAAAAAAAAAAACACAGATCAAGTAGAGTTGTACACTTCTGTGGAATGTGATTAATGCTTAAGCAGCATCAAGTACGCATTCTGTCATTCCCTTCGATCACCACATCACTGATACTTGTATTTACTAAGATAACTGACCCAATTCTTTAAAAAAAAAAAAACAAACCCAAACCAAAACCTGAAATAAAAAAACTACCCCTAATATAATAGTTCAGAGTTATTTCATTACCTTTATGGTGAAGAATATAATCACCTCACTCAAATTTTTACTCTGGGTCTATTTCAACAGTCTTGTATACAATTACATGGAAATTTAAAATTTGTAGGTGTAGATACTTGAAAATGAAAATACAAGCAGTAATATACTAACAACGTAGAAAGCTATACAGAAAGATTTACAGAAGGTATTCTAGAACTCACGATATAGAAAATGTGCGAAAAGGAAGCTGGTACCTTATCTGTGATGTGCCTGCTAAGCAGAACCCAGACGGCAGCACCACCCTGTGGACACTGGACCTCTAGCTTGTACTGAGGATTATTAGCCAGGCTGTAGGCATCCTTCACTGGACCTTGCTTTGCATCCCAAGTACTAAAAGTAATACAGACATGTTATTAGAGGAGTAAGGTAGTAATTTGTCCTTTGAAACCTGACTCCAAATCCTACATATATAGAGCACTATCCATTATCAGTAACCAAGTTCGTGAAGGATAATTTTCTGCAGGAATCTATGACAGTGGTTACATTAATGCATTAGTGCCAAGAGCATTATCTTATAGTTTTGTTTTATAAATGACTTTACTACAATACAAGTGTGATAATAAAAACCACAAAATACAAACAGCTTGGCTGTTTGCTACGGGACTGCAACCACACAAAGTAGAGAAAAAGCTGAGCCGTTCAGGGAGCCCAGGCTAGCCAATTATTGTAATGATTGCACACAACACATTTATTATTAAGTGAAAAACACCTTTGCTTTTATAACTGTAAGACTCCAGTATGTAAGCTACAGTTAGTTCCAAAAGCTTGCCAAATTTTTTCCTCCTGTTTTGTATTCAGATAATTTTTCTTTTAAGATTTGATCTGGTTTACGTTTGGAAGAATGTCTGCATGATGTGTTAAAAAAAAATCTTCAAGGTACCCTATTGCAAAATCTGCCTGCCGCCTCATGAACTGTCTAGGCAAGGAAAATAAGGTATGAAAAAACCCCAAAAGTGCTGATGACTGAATGCAAAGCGTGGCATGCTGGGAACAGGGGTGGATAAATTGACCCATTGACCCTCCTACACTTTTAAAACTGAACAGCCCGTGTGGAAGGCTGCGTTATCAACTAAGCTTCAAATTATCACCATCATTACTCCACTTTTTCTGGCAATTGATGCTGTGCTAGGCAAAAAAAGAGGTACGACAATCACCAATAACATAAGGAAAGGCAGACTAGTAGATGAGCTTTGAGATTAGCATACACATTGTCTCACCTTGCTACATCACCGCAGTATATTTTAGAATTAATTTGAACACCAAAATGGAAGGAGCCTTTACAGATAAGCTCAGCAGTTGCATTACGGACAAAGGAGCTTGCGCAGAGCTAACACATGCAGAAACAGTGTAGAAGCAGTGGCAAGTGCTTAGAGTGGAGTGGGAAAATAGAGAAAGTCTTGCTTTCTGAAACTGAGACACACACTTATCCTCAAACTGGGTGACAAAAAGACCACGTGTGATGGATACTAGGTAGCGGACAGGTATCATGTTCAGAAAAAAAAAAAAAAAAAAGAAGTCAAACAAGGAAGATTACTTATGATAACTGCAAGTGGTGAAAAATGGAATTAGTTAAACTACTCTGACATCAGTGAACACACCCTGTAAAGACATGTGCTGCACAAATGACTTGCAACTGGCCAGGAAAATGAAGTCCAGATAAAAACTAGGTCACCCAAGCACTGTCTGGTCACTGCTTAAAGATGGACTGCATAAAAATCTGATTTCTATTCCAACAGATGTGGGACTGAGGTCAGAATCTGGTTACACAACCTTAGGTCCACAGCAACATCACAACGGTCACTGGAGTTTGAACGACGTTACAGAAGTGGTCAAAAACAAAGCCTGGGCTGACAATTTAAAAGTGTAAAGTCAGGCTCAGGAGAGCATGGTTGGAGTTCAACCTCTTCAGCTGTAACTAGGAAGAATGGAAGGAAGGAAACACCATATCAGAACATTTAGTGAGATATCGACACAAAAGTTTTATCTCTTGGACCAACCTGTGAATACACGTAGATTCTTTAAAAAGACTTGGGTTCCAACTCAAATAAATAACATCATAGTACTGGCACAGGTCCTCCCAGGCGATCCAGAAAATGCCTAAGAAGGAAATGCTGTCATTGTTTCCTTACCAGACACCTTGATTTTACTTGTTTTTCAAAAGTCTCTTTCCAAGCAAATGACGTAGCTTATATAAACCAACATTTCAGTAGTAACGTCTGCATTGCCCAAATTTCTAAACTTAAACTTAATCCCCAAAACAATTAAGTTAGACCAAGAAAAACAAGATAGTCTCTGCTTATCATCAAAGACTTTCTGAAGCTGTCAGAACGCTTTTCATTCTCAAGCACTAAGCAGAAGGTATGAGAGAATCTGTTGTACTAAAAAAGGCATCATCATTAGATTCTGACCTGCCTTCCCCTTTCCTAGGTTTCTGGAGAAAAAAAAAATTACATAGTTAAACAGGTTCCCCCAATTCAACAACCTACTTCAGTAGTCATCCAGCACAACCAAGTATTCAATCAACGCATGAGTATGTTTGAATGTATTTCTAAGATGCTTCATCCAACACCTACATGACTTGCTTTGGCACCCTGAATCTGCTTCATCTTTACAACAGCCTCATGCATTTACTCTAATTCTCCACTGCTCCCTTAATTGCAACTCCAGCCAACAACAATGCCTGCAAGCTGACAGATTCCTGATGAAATGAACTCTCAAAAAGGCAACAGCCTTATAATTCAAGTCTCTGACATAGGCAGTTGCAGGTCTTGCAGCACTAAAAAAACCCCCAAACCATAAATAATAATAGCTATACACTTAGACCCGAAGACCAGAGTATAAATCCAGTCAGAAGAAACAACTCCCTTAAAATGACTACTGTACATTTATATAAATTTTAACTACTAGATGTTAGAGATGTAAATTCCTTACTAGGTGAATCAGTAAATAAATAACGAGCTAATCTCTCACAACTGTCACAAAGCCAGGGTTGCTATTCTTATATTTAAATCAAAAGTTTTCCTTATGCATTTGCATGAGGTTTATCAATAAATGCTATAATTTAATGGGTTTGGATGCATAATGTTGTCAAAATAGAGCGGCACTGAACAAAAGGGCTCCCTCACAGAGATAGACAGACAGCAACGAGGATACTGTACGAGGTGCAGCTTCTGCAGAATTTTTGAACTGCCAGCCTGCCCTTCCACCAGCAAACCCACACTGTCTTTCCAGACGCTACACTCTGCTGCTCCCTAGGGAAAATGGGACAGGACAACACTGGGCATCATTCCAAGTGGTTTCTCTGGACAGTGACATAGTAGCACCACTGTCTCAAAGATGGATCTCTCTGTCTACTCTTACAGCTGGAAATAAGAGCGTATGTAAACATTTGCTTATAGATACAGTAATGTAATGCAAAGGGGAAAAAAAAAATCACTTACCTCTAGTGCGTAACCTCAAATACAGGCAAGACTAATTTAAATACTGATTAAGGTAAGCACGTTGATACATATTTTCAAGTGTTGGAGGAAAAAACCCACAAAAAGTCTATTCACATATTAAAAAGCAGCATTACACAGCTTATTGTCAGACTGTTATCTTTGCACTGAACTCCCCCACACCCAGATACTGAGATAGCAACACTTAAGCAAGGAAGTAATATCTTGTCAACAAATTTGAGATGTATTAAACAGTCCAGATAACTGACACCCCAGACAAACCTGAAATGACAGATTAAATATACAAATACTTCGTAAACTTTTGGGCTATTTAGTTTCTTTTACTCTCCCTCCCCTTGTGCTTAAGCATTTCTTTCCACCTTCCTGCAGGGATACACCACAAAGATCTACATTATCTGAAAAGATAGTGACTTTGTAAACCTTATTACCATTGTCTATTTTCTGAGCTGTTCTTGGATCAAAGTTCAAGTATTTTTGTAAATCTGGGGTCCAATTTCTTGTGTCATTTTCACTGTATCGTCCCTTCCAACGTAAGTGGCTCCAGGGATTTTTCAACTGAAGAAATCGAAGTCCCTGAAAAAATACAAAATAAAATTGCTGGATTCATCTTGTAAAAATAATTTTTATATCTATATTAACATGGTATATGGACCAATAGCTCAAGAAAATACAGCACCATTAAGCCTTCTAGATTTTCCCAATGGAGCTCAAGATGAAATAAACTATATTAGCCATCAGAGCAACAAATTAGTAGCTACCCATTGCAGACAGGTTTCAAACAGGCATCTGAAAACATCTTCAGTTTTCCTTGATACCTTATATTCTCTTATATCCAAGACTGCATATGCATGGGTTGGAACTAAACCCCATTTTTCTCCTTCCTCTTCAGACATCACCCCTGTTGCTGTTGTGATAAGGACATCTCCCTTGTGAAATCTGTTCAAAAAAAGAGGCGAAGAATAGCTTAATTAAAATCTTGCAAGTTGCAAACTGACATTTGCCAGACACTGTAATAGTATGTTTATACACTGCCCTTTAGCATGACCCTACTGTATAAAAACTGGAATACAGTTGTTGGGGGTTTTTTTTGTCAGCAGAAATCATTCCTGAAAAAGCTTGAGAAAGTGGAACTATTTTCTTTCAGTATTTAAGTATAGGCTTTAAGTGAAAACCTATTATTTTCATATAATTTCACAATTTCATATTTTTAATAAATAAAAATTAGCATTTATCAACCTGAAGTTCAATCTGTGTCACTTTTTAAAGATAGTCTTCACAGATCTTCAGCTGAACACAAATGTGGTTTCATCAACACTTAGCCAATCACTGCATATAGGAAATTAACAACTCTCTCACACCTCCAGGATTCTGAAGGAGCTTCCCAAAACCTGGGGAATGAGAAATTCATGCTTCTATACTTTTGCAGTTGTTATCACTAAAGTTTTGTGTCCCCCAGCACAGGTGTTCCAGGGTCTGAACTGCCAACTCACAACAACTGAGCTCTGCAATTGTTCTGAATTGCAACTGTTAATTTTGCAACCACCGTTGCTGCAAAACACTAGCACATTTCCCAGCCCATGCTAAAATCCGAGTACATACTCAGCATCCCCAGACAATTTACAGGGTCACTGGACTATGGAGCGACACATTTTCAGTCTAGCACAGGTGAACAACAGTGATGCTGTAATGGCTAGATCCCATCCTAACTGCAGTCACACCTCCAAACTGCAAGGCCAGAATACCTGAAAAGTTGTTAACAATGAACTGAGAGCTCCTACCAACTGAAAAAGCACTGCAGGAGGAGTGTCAGACTTATCATGAATGCAGATGTTTCGGTCAACAGAATACCCCCTTTCTACTGCATTGAAATGCATAAAAGATTGGTTGCACAAAACCATTTTGAAAGCAATCGAAGCACTTGCTAGCTGACATTTATAAATTACAGCTGTATCTTTCACCATAAGTACTGAAGATCAGTATTGCAGTTTTGCTAGACTTTTGCTGCTCCTCCATGAGATTTGCTAATAGGGCATAACAACAAAGATCTTGTGATATGATTAGAAATACAATATTGTATCTGCTTGCTAAGGACAGCAGAACAATGCCAAAGTTCTGAGGAACTATGTGGGAATACAGAACACATTTCCTTCTGCTTTTTAAACACTTTTACTTGTATATTGGTTCCAAGCCATTCTTCTCTGACTCTGTATTCTATTTTCTTCATCAAGAAATGGGCTATTATTTATTTTTCTTCATATGCAAAGAAGAAAAATCAGCTCAGACAAAATTCCACAATATTTTACTCTTCTGTTCTAACAAAGCCACCAATACCTCAATTTTTCTTCTTCCAGAAAGCATAGAGAGGTTTTATAAAGCACAATTTGTAGTAGTACCAAAACGCTATAGAAAGATCTGTGGTAACTGTACTGGTTTTATAGTGGTAATGCAGCTACTACACAGCAAGCATTTCAATTACTTAGGAAAGAACAAACTTCTACCTCTGATAAAGCATTCTGAAAGTACTATCTTTATTGAAAGCTTGATTGTCAGAGTGCATAGCAATTCTTTCGGGTATCCAACCAGTCAGTGCATGGAGATCGATATTCTGAAATGCAAGCATTCAAAAAAAATCAGAATAAATAGCTATCTATAAGCATATGATGTCTGTACACAAATTATAAAAGCGCCTCGAAAGAAACCAAATATACACAAGTTACAATATAGCTTTACACATAAAAGGCTCAATATTAAGACTATGTTAGAAAACCCAACCAAACAAAAACTTATTTGATTAGTTTAGGACATTTCCAAGCAGCATCTAAAAAAAAAAAAGCTGGAAAGTGGACTAATGAAACAAACTGGAATTCAGAGCAATGGAAGCACAAAAGAATGATCATTCATGCTCAGTTCTATGATGTGTTCTATTTATTTCATTGATTCACAGACTTTTAAAGCACAGTCTCAGAAGCACAGTTTGGAGCCTTGCTATTATATATGCATTTTAAATAATTTAAGTTTTACTTCTATGGCTGAGGGTTTGGGTTTTAAATTCTTTTTGGTGAAGCTGATGCTGACAAGTATTTCCATAAAAAGAGGCTTTAATGTCCCCATTTCATCTCCTTGAAATACTGCTTATTTCCTTTTCTTTTGCTTTGTATTCCTCAAAGCAAAAGCAGAGACTATAAATGCTTGAGGTGTCAATAGCCAGCGCTGGTGGGTGGGAACTTGAGGAATTACAAGTACCACGCAGCCAGTAAGTAACGCTGATGATACAAGGAAGCCATAATACAGTTGAAAGCAGAGGGGGCGGGAAGGGTGGAGATTAAATGTCACAAGTCAAGCTGTTTTTCCAGATAGCAAGTCAGAGAATGACAATGGGAATAAAACACAGCTATTCTCACCAGCTTCTGTCCTGTGAAACAAAGCAGCCCAACACCGATGTAAACACACATAAAAACGTATGCTATGTTTACCCCTTATACTAAGCCACGTTTGTCTCCATAATAATTTTTCAAAAGGTGATGGTTACCTAGTATACCCTCCAAGAATGCAATTATCAAGACACCAGCTAGAATGCGAACAGCACCATGAAATCAAACACGTACTATAAAAATTTCAAAGAATTTAAATTAAAATCAGAAATGCTTCCTAAGTAACGAATGAGAATTATGTGGGCTACTCATTTCAGTAAACTGTCCCTCTTTGAAAGAATGATTTGCATGTCAGCCTAGCTGCAGTACAATGACTGTTTCTTTAGTAACCACATTATAGGAACCCGATACATATTTATGTAAATGAGTGGAACAATCTGATAAACAAACTCGCACAGATCAAAGTATTTGCTCCCTGTCTGTACATGTACTAAATGACTAGCCTGTTCCTTTCCTAGCTGACTCTCCTACCAATTGAGGGAGAGCTGTCCTATTTATTGAACGACAGTTAGAAACCAAAATCAGCAGTACTGATATGGGCAAAAAAATGTATGACTTCACCCAACACTTTAATCTAGACTCTATATAAACACATATACTTTCCAACCATTAGTGCCAATCCTGCAGTCAGAGAACTATTAACTCTACCCATCAAGATGTCCTGCTCATTTTATTTTGATGGAGTAAGTCCCATTAAGAATATAAGTCAGCTAAGCATATTTGTGAAAGAAAGAAATAGAAAAAAAATTAAGAAAACATCAATCCCAATACTTGCCTCCCCCCCGACCAATTGACTTTGATTTCACTGGAAGGAAAATTATTTGACCCAAGATTATCTAAGTGGAGTTTTTGCCTCTTAGAAATAATCTAATACTTACAGAATTTGATCCAGGAAAATCATATCCTCCCATGACCTTCATGTAAGCCTTTTCTATTAGTGATACCCATAATTCATTCTTATTGTTAGAATAAGAGCAGAGAAGTTCCCCACTATGATCAACAGGTAACTGGTCATCTATGATTACCTGTATGAAATAAACAAATGAAAAATCACCATGAAACTCATAAAGTATTATGGAAGTATTTAAAAAATAAACCCACTCTCTCATTAACATACAGCTTCTCAGACACAGCCAGACCTGACCATCGTTCTCACATATGGACACCTCTATCAATCCTGCAGTGGTTTGCCCAAGTGAACAAGAAATTCTATTACCAGCTCTTACTTGCACTGATCTACTGGGTGACCTGTGATCACCTGCCTTGCTTTCCCCTGTGTAAAATGGGGACGATGACAGTGCGCTCTTGTAAAGTGTCTAATATCTATTGTAAAAGGTAGTCGCAGAAAAGTTCAGTGTAATTACCAGCATAAAAAGTAAAGAAAAGCCTAGCGATATTCCTCACCTAATTAGGAAACAGAGCATGGACTGTGCTTGGTAGCCAGCAGAAAAATAAAGTTATTTATCTATAAGGAAGCAAACTATGTGTCACATCACTTTCATAGTCTCTAGTTCCAGATTTAAATTTCTTCTCTCTGGAAAGGAAAAACAACCCAAAGCAACAGTTGGTATTAACATTTCTTCTTTAAATTAGGTAGAATATATTCAGTATTATTTCAGACTGTTACTGCAGTATTTGCAGTGGTCTGAAACAGTTTCCAAGACAGGTATTTCAGTTTCACATTGCCGTTAGTCCATTACCACTACAGGCTACCAACACAGCATATTTTCTGGTCAAATCCTATCTGTGCAGGAATGAATAGTTGTTTTCGTAGAAGAGTAAATGGCCATTCATCCTAAGGAAAGGCAGCCATTAGGAGGTATTTTAGAAAGAGCATTAAGAGCAAGGCAAGCACATAAATGATACTTCCCTGAAACACTCAGATTCCAGAATTTTGCAACTCAAGGACTTCCTGACCCAGAGGTTATACCTTCGCAATTAATAGCCTTTGAGGACTTTCCCCTTACTCCCCCACACCGTGAATATGACCACTCAACTTCTGAACTCCCATAAACATTCATCAGTCACTATGATCTGCAATAATCAGTGCTACTGTTAAGTATTATATGAAGAAATACATTATTCTGTGCCCTTATCTATTGCACTGAAAAGAAAATGGAGTTGTTTGTGAGTTTATAAAGTTCTATCATATATCTTCAGGCATCTCCTCTCCTTACTAAGGATCTGTGGCCACTGGAATTATTCCTCTGTGGTCATTCCATGTCTATACTCTTCCAGGATGTCCCTCCCCGCTCTGTACTTCTAGTTCTGTAACTTCCTTTCCAAGAGCGGAGAAGTGGATTAGTTGCATGCTCTATTTATAATTACAGGATGCATAATTTTGTTCCTGTATGGTCTTCATAATTCTTTTAAGCAATATAAGGATTTCTTAATGAATTTAATGTAAGACTATTTTCATACGTCTGTAGAAGTAATACCTACATTCTGCTACATACGTCACAACCAAAATGAATCTCAAGAGGTTTAACAATTAAAAACCACTTTCCAACAAAACGTATCTAAAGTTTTTGCTATGCAAGTATAGCTTCACCGTGAAGCAGACTAAGCTTTTAAAAGATACGACTTAATTCAGCAACAGCATTGTCTCCCCAAAAAGCATTTACCTTTCTAGGTACACCATTGATATGAAGCTTCACCATGTATTTGCCACATGGATTATATTCTGGTTCTCCTTTCTTATTCTGAGGGTAAATTATACTGTTGAAAAAAAAAAAAAGGAAGAAATTGTGACCTAAATGACTTGGCTGTACATACAGTGGTAACAATAAAAGTGGGATTAGCATAGTCTGTTTTTCTGGAATTCACACTGAACATACATATGGAATTTTTAATGAAAGAGCAACTCAAATTTAGTAAAAATGACAATGATGTTTACATAGGTTTTATTTTTCAGGCCTTGCTCTTGCTGCAGTTCTCTGCTTAATATAGTAACAAAAAGAACATAAGTAACCTAATTGTTTCTCCAACAGAAGCAAGGCAAACAAATTTATCTTACTATTAAACAAACAGTATTTGCATATCTATAGTATAAATATGGTATTTGCCTGAATCACAAGTCAAACATTTGAAGAAGGAGAATACGGTGCAGAACTCACTGCTTTTGAAAAGAATACAAGTTCAGTTCTAAAGAGTATAGGTTAAAATACAAAAATCCAGGAATAACGTTCACGCTGGTCTGGCAACACACTCCCAGCAGAGTCTGCCAAACTTGTACCAAATTCATCACAGGATGCCAGTTGAATGGAATTGAGATAGTGTTGTTAATATTAATTCTACAGTGAGATGCAAGATGGACCACCTTTTACATAGCAGTTGGCATAGCAAAGTGCAAAGCAGGAAAATAAACCTATAAACCATTAAGTAAAACTTCTATTAAAAACCAAACAAAACTTTCCAAACTAGTTATTGCTCTTCAAAGCACATCTGAAGTTAAGCTCCAGTGTCTGTATCTATATAAAGTTGGATTCCCTCTCAGAAGTGCTGAAGCCACGAGTCCCAGGGAGGTGAAGGTGAAACAAATACTAGCTTTTACTGTGTCCAGCTGCCATAGAACATATTGCAAAAGCTTGGCAGTATTAATTCTGAAAAGATCTTAGAAAGCAACAGCTACTTGCCTTGTGATCAATTTTTTGTTATATCTTCTTTCATATGCTGCGCTGATAGCTAGCGATGCCACGAAAGAACAATCTGACACTATTGTCTATGAAGAAAAGAAAACCAGTGAGGACATTTACTAATATCTTAGATACTGAAAGACAAACAGGAAAATTGTCAGTTAATAATTCCCTTCAAAAGGGAAAGATTTGAACCAAGAGAAGCAAAGTTACTACTAAAAAGGCAGGAAAAGCATACTTGCTCAAGATGAGGCCCCTACAGAGCAAACCAGAGTTAGAATTACTGATGACATTCAGAGGCAAGCGCAGATACCTCAGCATTCACTCACACTTACTCCCTCCTCCCCAAAACACACTGTACAATATAAACCATATCCAAAGGCATAACCTATTGTTGATTCCAGAATAGCTTGGGCCATTTGCAACTTAACACTAAGCAAAACACTTCCACTATTCTCAATGGGCCACTCTGCTTCCTATCAAATAAAAATTTAAAAATCTTCCTCATTATTTTTTCCATGCAATAAATTAGATGAACAATTTGCTGCAGAGTAGACCTTGCCTTTTTTTGTACTAACCTTACCACTATTTTTCTGGAAAACAGTATTTTCAGCTGGAATTCAGATTCTGATTTTCACTTCCCCTGCTAACACAGCTGTTTATTCTCATGGCATTTGCATGGAATCTGAAGTGATACTACTTCTTTATAATTCTGATTTTCACTTCCCCTGCTAACACACCTGTTTATTCTCATGGCTAGAAATTGCATGGAATCTGAAGTGATACTACTTCTTTATTTATGTACTCTCATGAGAACCAAGGAAAGCACTCTCACATTTGGGGATTCCTTTTTCAACAAGAAGCTCCCTTGCAATAAACTGCTATCAGCACACATTTCTCTTTAGGAACAATTTACCTGCTTTATGCTGAAACTTGATACAGTATAAATCATCGTAGGGTTATTTGTTATGTCATCTGGCCGCACCCACTTGGCAAACATTGCTTTCTGTTTGGGGGATAATGGTAACTTCCCACATTTATCACTAGATTTAAGAGAGAAAAAAGTAGAAATAAATCAATAGTAGAAATAAATCAACAGCAATTTAGAAAAGCTTTTCATGGTAAGTCCAGTCTTATATGTGTCTGATAGGTGGTGCAAAACATGTGCAGAACAATTACACAGCTTTGTATACAGAGCTGTAAAACAATTTCAAAGAACACTACTGCTGAGTTTGTGATTTTATGGAAAAAAGCAAAATGTAACCTTAACATATTATTATCGCTCATGAATGAAGGTCTAGCAGTTACATATCATTCTTCCTCAGAATAGTCCTTTACAGAGGAAATGGCTATCACCTTCATTTTACAGGTAACTGAGGCAGAGGGAGCTAAACTTGTTGGCATGCAGCAGAATCAGGAAATGGACTCAAGCTGCCAGCCCAGCCCAATGCTCCAAAAAGCCAAATATAATGTTGTCCTTATAGGCCGGAAGACACAACTGCAAAAGCACTGCAGAGCAGGATCAGCTTACATTACAGTTTTAAGATCAGACTGGAAGTAGGAAGTGGTAGTATTTAAATGTCTATGCCTGAATTATGCTTAAAAGCCTACTCACACAATTTTAAACTCTGAAAAAGAAAACATAGAAATACCAAACATGGGAAAGCTTTGGAAATAAAAACAAAAGTAAAGTTCAGTAATTGAATCACACTTACGAAAATGGCATAGGGAAGGCAAAACGTTCCCTCAGGTCAACACTCATGAAAGGTACATATTCAATGCCATTAATTTTTGAAGTCTTCCTGCAAGTCACAAGAAAAAAAAAACATAGTTACAAACCTATCTATCATCTTTCAAAGATTAAGTTCCAGAAGGTAACAACAAAATTAGTTTTTAAAAACTAACAAGACACAGTGCTTCTGAAAACAAGATGACTACCTCTCGAAAATGAAACAACCACTGTATTTATTTGGGTTTGAAATGCGCAGTACTTGATGGCTCAGTCACTAATCCTGCAAGTACGTACTGTGGACAAGTCACCATGCCAGGCTAGAAATGAGTTGTCTAAATGGAATTTCTCAGGACACTTAAGCCTCCCATTAAAGACAGTCTTAGGATAAGTTGACAGAAATTAACAATTAGCAACACACAGATTTCATCTAATTGGGGCAGTATTTTGGAACACTTCATCAAACAAGAACAAAAATACTGCACGTTTATTATTTTATTATACTATTATCATTTTTGACTAAAGCGCACAGAACACTTTCTAAAAAAATGAGAATCATATTTAAATGTGAATGTAATTTAAGTTTCAAACAAGGAATAAACTGAAAAAGGCATGCAAAATATTTTTAATTCAAATGTTGATTAAAGATGTGAAACAACTTGAAGTTCCCTTGCAAGACTGAAACAACATCCCCACGCCCACCCCAAACTCCCAAAACACCCAAACCATCCACAAAACCAGAAACATTCACTACACGGAGACTACATGAGGGAAAAAAATCTTAATAAGGCAGTTCTTAATGCTCTGCAACTTTTCCAACACATGTACATATCTATATTCATGACATTATCCTCAGTCCATTTAAGTCCCCTAAAGTCAACAAGCAGACTAAGTATTTTATGATCAAATCCTGGACAGTGTTGAGCATCACTTCTGTCACAATCTTTTTTATTGCATGGGGAGGAGGAGGAATGTTGAAACACCTATCAGACTTTTTTTTTTTAAGAGATATTTGATAGTTTTCAAAATTCACAGTTTAGGCTAAAGGTTTTACGGATTATTTGTAGCTTATGCCACCTATAATAAAAATCAAAGTAAAAGGAACTGGATGTAACAGAAGTCACGGTCCTACAAAATAATACGCTTCCTCAATTTCCAGTGAAGTAGCAGTTGTATAAGCTATAAAAACATCTTTGTATCTTGGCTTCTCAGAGTCAGGTAGGTTATGTAAAACATACAAAAATAAGGCTATGAAAAATAATCCTGGCAGTCAGTTTTGTCTTCTAAATACAAACTAGAAAGTATGCTCTGTGAATAAAAGCCACTAACTACATTACCATAGTGAATACAAGAATTTATTAACGTGTAGGTAATACCAACGATAGGGTTTGTAAGAGGTGGTTTTCCAACCCTCTGTTTATATGCCTCATGCTTCAGCTGTTTCAAACTACTATATAAAATACACAAAGGATGTTGAATTATAACATCTTGGAAAAACTTGTTTTCAACTTACCTGAGTACTTCAATCTCCTCTGCAGTGTATCTCTGACCCTGAGATTCGCTAGCTTGTACTGCCCTGACTGTCTGTGGTTTATCATTTAAAGAAAAATCAGGTCCCAATGGAAAGAATGTTCTGACTGGCTGATTTGGTTTAGCTGCAGTTGACTTCTCCTTTTGAGATGACTTTGACACACATTCCTTCAGTGCCTCTGCCCTAAAGCAAATAAAAATGCATTTTGTTTAAAATGATATAGTTATCGTTCAATTACTGATCTGCTTCTTCATGTTCCCATATATGTTAAATGGAATGAACAAATGCCCAAGTTGACCAACACCACTTTTCCTAGGAAAAATCAATTTCTGATGCCAGTTCTTCTCTATTTTCCTGTTCTAGAATCAATTAAAGTATAGCATTTCCAACTCATACATAAGCTATTTTTGGCAGAACTCGTTAGATTTTTGTTGCCTTTAAATTATGCTAATAGAAGAATTTATGTAAGTGTTCATTATCTGGAACCTCAGAACAAGACCACTGAAACATAGAGAGAGAAAACGGATTTGCATCCTCTCATACCTTCAGGATTTAATTTGTCTAGCAGCTAAAATAGCAGCAAAACCACAACAGCATTCTCACAACCCAGCATTTCAGCTGCTTGAAGACTGTGTATTCAGGAGGCGTATTTTGTTGTTGCATTAAGCTTCTGGACAGTCACACATATGCAAAACATGAGTGTTTTTTTGAACACAGACTGAGAAGTGCTGAAAACTAGCTTATACTGAAACTTAGCCCAACATAGTCTGTTATTTGCCAGTATATAGCTGATTTTAAAAGAGTTACATTAAACTTACACTCGTGTAACTTGTTTCAGATATAGACTCCATTCCATTAGATCTACCCATACAATTAGATTGCTGCCGTCAAGATAAGTATTTCCCAGTTTCCAAGCTCTCTTCCTTATGAAGGGATGCTGACACCCTGACTTAGTGCTGGCCTGAAATCAGCATGTTTATAAAAGCCAAAAATTGTAGTGCAGTACTCTGATTTCTGTCTCTGAAGACTGACATAGTGCATTGGTACTAACAAACACACAGTCCTTTCCTAATTTTGCCTGTCCCAAGATTCCCAGAGGGTTGGCACAACAGCTGGCAGCTATCTGCCAGAACTCTACAGAAGCTAGGACCCATACTCTTTCCAGCACAGAGCAGATACACTAAACTGAGAAGCCAACTCAGAGAGTGCGCTTATCCCTGACAGCAAGTGCATTTACAAACATTGGCAATACTCACCTATCCAGTGCTTGCCGAGCCAGCTGTTTCAGTTTGGACTGGAGGCCTGCTTCTGAAGTTTCAGTAGCCTTAAGTGTAAAAGAAAAGAAAAAGCTACACATCCAAAAAACCCACAGGTTTTATAGGCTCAGTTTGTCAAATTCCACGCTTATAGATTACAGCAAACAGCAACTCACCATTTTCTCCAATTCTCTTTTGAAACGAGCAAATATGTTTTATTTAAAAAAAAATCTCAGCATAAAAAGCATACTAAATAAGCAAATATCATTTTACTGTTCTAGTGAATGTTCATGGAACAAAAGTGATAATTAAAATTCTTCAACATGGGCAGCACTGTACACACAAAAAAATTGCCAGAAGAATTAACTGTATTAAACCACTATGGGGAGAAAGAACACAAAACCAAACGTCAGGAATGCTACTGAGCTTAGATGTCTTGCAATTCTTTTCCCTAAACGAGTCAAAAATAGTCATGGTAACTTAAGAAAAAAATAAATTTGAATGTTTACTTTCATAAAATACAAACAAAAAAGATTGCTTGCAAGTTAAAAATCTTGTTCTTGCACATCTAAGGCATAAAATAATCTCTGACAGGGCACCAGAACAGATTATCAAGAGTGCTAACTTCTGTTCCCAGTTGGGAGGTCAGCTATGACAGTTTACTCATACAATCAGTTTATGCTTTTGTTTTTCTTACAGATGAAGCATGGCTACTACAAATCTGCAAGAGGCACACAACATGAGGTGCAGCTTCTCCTGCAACACCCAGAAAGCAGGTTTTGGGTTCTAGCTTTGCACCTTGACTGACTCTCCTAGGTCAGCTAGGTCAACTGAGGAAACAAAAGGCAAGCTACTTCCACCTCAAGAAAAAAAACTAGAAAAGCTCTCTACAAGCAACTATTTTCAGTTGCAAATAAATTACACTCTGGAGTTCCTGGTTGGAAAAGACTTTGAAAGTTGTATGAAGGTAAGCAGTGGAGATGGAACACCAGCAGACCCATCTAGGAGTCAGCCACAGAAGGAGGAATGGCTGCTCTCTGAGTACTTCAAGGGTAAGGAAGAAACAAATCTCTCCACCTGAATATACTGAGGAGGAAGACTCAAAAGCATCAAAATAACACAGTTCCTTCAATCTTTTTTCATCCTGGGAAGAAGATACTTTTTGATCGCCCTGATGGACAAAGCCTACAGTCATCATAACAAAATATTATGCTCGTCAAGATTCAAAGAGACTTCAGCAGTATCTGTACCTAATGACAAACCCCATAAAAGCAGTTGTTAATATAAGATAATTTCAGGCTAACTTCAATATACGTAAGTAATACTTGCATGCACTGACACAACAGAAGAAGGAAGATATTAGAGGAAAAACAGTATGCTGCCGCGGTAAATTTTATGTAATAGACTGGAAATGTTCTGCTCCAACAGCTCAAGTGGAAAAACTAGAGCAGTTCTACTAACTCTTGATCTGATTACACTGTATCACCAGGGTTTTTTACCCTACACAAAATCAGTTTACAGATTTCAGAGAAAAGATTCTACTCTAGTATGTACCACAGTGACATTCCCCTCCCAACAACCCACATATATTTACATTATAAAAAGGGAAAAGAAGGGGAAAAGGAAAACAGACTTGGTGGAGTTACATTATGATGGTGAGCTCTTCCTGTAATGAGTTAGTTAAGGCAACTGGACTTAAGGGAAAAAAGCAGTACCTGTAATTATATTCTCCATCATTTATGTAATGGCCAATTCATCCTCACCATTAATTTCAGTGTGAATTGAATTCACTCATAACAGTTTTAATGTTGAGCACTGAGTAATCAAGTGGTATTTTTACTGGTTTTGGCATCAGTAGACCATTATGTTTTCAGAAAGTGTTACACACAAAAATTTCCCTTAAATTACTTCCTTTAATGTAGTCAGAAAGTAATATAGCTGACACATTAGCAAGTCATCTTCAGTTTTAACTGTTTTTAATTCCTGTTTTAGTGTTGCATTTGCTCCAGGGCAAAAATTAACATGAAAAATATTCCAGAATATTTCTAGGTTTTAGTATAATCCAGTTCAGGAAAACCACATAAATCACAGGTGTTGAATAGCAACATAACATAAAGACTGGAAGAAAAAAAAAACAGTGGAAAAAAAGATTAAAAAATACTTTTTAGAAATACAGGTACTCCATTTTTAAGCCAGCCTTTAAGGGTCAGTCACTTGTGTAAGTGGAAGAATTTCTTACCATCACATAATTCCACCAAGTTAACCTGAAGCTTAACATACTGTTTTCAAACAGAGCTCCACCGCTTCTGTGTACAACTCTATGGCTTCTTCTGCATTGCCTTTATCATCTTCATCAAAAGCCTGTGTAACTAGGAAGTGAGCACGCTCCAAGTCCAACTGTTGTTTTGACTTCAGAGGGTCTGTGTTCTGTGACTGAACTAAATGAAAAAGAAAGTATTTAGCTTTCTACAGCAGCAGACATGCAAAAACATCCTTAACATGGTACTGAAACACTAGCAGTTCTAATCAGATGGGTAATATCTATTTCTTGGCTGGAAACAAAGTCTTTCTAAACTTTGCTAAAAGCATCTTTGCAAGGACAAGAAGCAAGGACCCCCCCAGCAGAGATACATTCTCAGGATATTTCACATGTCAAATAACATAAATAAAAACTCTTTCATACTACACTAAGGACAAGGATGTTTAATTATGTAAACTACAGCATTATTTGTGAAAACTCTTCACTTATGGTAATACAGAATTTCCTTAGGTGTCTATCTCATTTAATACCTTTATTAATGACCTAAAGAAGATGGACTGCACCTTCAACAAGGCTGCAGACCCCACCAAACTGATTCACTTGAGGGCACAGCTGCTGTTCAAAGGGACACGGACAAGCTGAAGTAATGGGCTGACAGGAACCTCAGGAAATGCAACCAGGAAAAATGCTATGCCCTGTGTCTGGGACAGGCTAACACCCTGCGGGGTACAGCTCTGCAGAGGAGGGCCTGGGGTACTGGGGGACAGCTGGATGAGCCCGAGCCACAAGGCCTCTGGCAGTGATGAAGGCTAACAGCACCCTGGGCTGTGTCAGCAGGAGCACAGCCAGGAGATGAGGAGAAGCAATTACCACCATCTACTCAGCACTCAGTAGGCTGTATCTATCTGGAATACTGCATCTAATCTCAGGTCCCTAACAATGGTTGGGGCTGGAGGACTTGGCCTTTTAAGAAGAAGCTGAGGGAGCAGGGCTTGTCCATCCGGGAGGAGAGATGACTTGCAGGGGGAAAGCCATCTCTAATAGCAACCTGCCAGTAACTGTGAGGTTATCAAGAAAATGGATCCAGGCTCTTCACTGCAGTGCAAAGAAAGGGAATGAGAGCCAGTGGCTATGAATTGAGACGGGGGAGAATCCAAATAGGTATGTTAAAAACCCCCAAAAAACAACAATCACTAGAAAGACAATTGCACCCTGGAACAGCGGCCCAGAGGCACCAGGGAATTTCTGCCCTTAGGCGTTTTCAGGACCTAACTGCACCTGAGTGTCCTAGTTCAAAAGTCAATGTCTACCCTGCTTTGAGCAGGAGATTGGTCTACAGACCTGCCAAGGTCCCTTTTTGTCCAAGTGATTCTATGATTCTAACTGAGAATTGCAGGCGTGTAAAAATTTGAGATTTTGGTCTAACTACAAACACTGAAACTGGATCAAACAAGGAAACCCGTACAATAGCAAAGAGGTCTCTTGGCCTCTCAAAGTTAGTAATTCTACATTAATATCAGAACCAGCTTGCTTCAAATCCATCCTGCAGCTGAGGCTTAGATGAGAGTTTTGATTTGTTCCTGATTGATTTTTATTGCTATATTTAATTACTTTCTCAGGTTTGCTCTGCAGATGCAGTTCCTAAGAATATTTAAAAGGAAAGAATACCCACACCCAAGCCCTTAGGAAGTAACTCTCTGCTTCATTTCTGATGTATCAGAATTCAAAGGACTGATGTATTAATTGTATTTGTGGTCCTTCCCAAAGGACAAGAAAATTAGAATAAGGAAAACAGAGCAAACATCATTGATCCATATTTCATAGCCCTGAAAGGCTTTCTACTCAATTAATTTAAGCAGAGGTTTAATTAGAAAGCTCCTTACCCACCTGCTGAATGGAGAGCTTGAACTCTCTCCAAGTACTCATTTATTTTTTCTTGAATATTTTCCAAGTTGGACCCTGCCATCCCAGCATAAATCAAGGCTTGTGCAGCTTCCTGCAGGGAGAAGAATTTGAGACAAAGTTAATGTTTGCTGCCTAGAAAATTACTTTCCATAAACAGAGGGCCTACAACAGCCATGAATTGCATGAAAGCAAGCCCCTACATCTGCAAAAAGACTCAGTGGCTGCAGGGAAATTCTGCTGGAAAGAACAAGTTTCAAGTTATAAATGAGATCATGTTCAATTTCTCACACATGGGACAACCTATAAGACCATAGAAACCTACTGAGGTTCTATAACCTCAGACCTTAGGCCTCTCTGTATAGTAATGCATGCAATTAGGAGATTTTAAGTAAAATTTTTCAAGCATGCACTGAAATCAGTTGAGTAAAGCTCACAAGCCGCAAACCGCCTTTTATTTTTAAAGCTGTGGATTGAAGTTTGGGGGAAAAAAAAAAGCTACAAGTTATTTGCATTTAATCTGATAATAATGAAAGAAAACCAATATAAAAACTTTTTAAAATAAAATAAATAGTATTTTGGTTTAGAGAGTCTTTTAGTATTAGTCACATAAAGCTATAAAATCTGGAAAGTCTGCAAGTTTTAAGTTTCTTAGCTCCTCAAACTTTGTTTTTTAAGTGTTTGTGTACACACAAAAAAACAGGTATTGATGAAAGTCTACTTCCAGGAGGGAGCATAGGCTTCCAGCTCAGAAGCACAGTATGTTATCCGCATTAAGGCTTTTTTCACACTGCACAAATCTATTAAGAAAAAAACATCTTCAGTTGCATAAGCAGTCTACCCATTCACTAAACTTATGAATAACACGTAAGGTTTGGCAGGGTTGTAATAAACAGTCAGAGCTGACACAGTCTCAGAAGCATATGGAGAACTGAAATTTGTCACTCACAAAAATGAGGATAAAACCTTATTTTGTCCTCATTATTGGCGAGGAAAAACCCCCCACACTTTTGTGGCAGTGCTCATCTTCCTGGCAGCAGAAGAGAGGCGGTGGTCATGTAGCAGGCTGAGTATGTAGGAACCAGTAACTAGAGAGCTGCTCCACAAAGATGGTGCTCCGAGAGGCTGCTCTGCATAGGGCAAGCACAGAGCCACAGCCAGAGGATTGCTCGCATGCCATGATTTTTGTCAAGCTTAGCAGCTTGCTCCCATACACATCTGCCTAGCTTGCCCAAGCTTAAAACTGATCCTGATATAGCCTGTATTTATCAGGATAAATTTTCACTGACAAGCTCACAGAACCAAATACCGCATATTCCCTGTCAACATCCATCACCATATTACAACACACAAAATGTCCACACCAATAGAAAGATAAAAAGAAGTACTATGCCATTTATATGTGGCAATTAAATACTGTTAAGCTCTAGCATACAACTATTATTTTGGGGGAAAAAAATGCACTACTGATATCTGCTCAAAGGTTGTATATATTTGTCTGTGACATATCACAAGTACGGATTGACAAAAGAGGTGCTGTATCATAACAGTAAGCTATTTACATATGATGCAAAGAACAAATGTGGATTTTCAAACTAGTGCTGCAAAAACAATGCATAATTGATGTTGCTGCTGTGATTTCAAGCACAACTGTTCTGCCTGGTTTTAAGACGTAAACATAGCGAACAGTCTAAGGCTCTGAAGGACTGAAGCAGTTGACCAGCTGTCTGCAAGGCCAGCACACCAACTGTTGCCAGCGACAAGATGGACATGCAATTCAGAGTTGATATCTATGATCTCTTCAATGTCACTACTGTTCTTTGGCACAAGCAGTGTGCCACAGTCGCACTAAGCTAGCTACCGATCGTCAGTTTGCAAGTTGCTAACCACTGGTCAACAGTCAAACTTTGCAATGCTCTTCAGCAGTTTTGCACATGGAGGACAATCAGGGGATCAGGCCCAGCCATCATGGGTTCATGAAAGGCAGGTCTTGCCTAACCAACCTGATTTCCTTCTACGACCAGGTGACCTGCCTGGTAGATGAGGGAAAGGCTGTGGACATTGTATACCTGGACTTCAGCAAAGCCTTCAACACAGTCTCCCACAGCAGTCTCCTGGAGAAGCTGTCAGTTCACTGCCTAGATGGATGTACTCTTCGCTGGGTTAAAAACCGGCCAGATGGCCGAGCCCAGAGAGTCGTGGTGAATGGAGCTAAATCCAGTTGGTGGCCGGTCACAAGCAGTGTCCCCCAGAGCTCAGTTCTAGGGCCAGTCTTGTTTAATATCTCTATCAATGACCTGGATGAGGGGATCGAGTGTGCCCTCAGTAAATTTGCAGACGACACCAAACTGGGTGGTAGTGTTGATCTGCTTGAGGGGAGGAGGGCTCTGCAGAGAGACCTGGACAGGCTGGATCGATGGGCTGAGGCCAACCGTATGAGGTTCAACAAGGCCAAGTGCCGGGTCCTGCACTTTGGTCACAACAACCCCATGCAGTGCTACAGGCTTGGGGAAGAGTGGCTGGAAAGCTGCCTGGTGGAAAAAGACCTGGGGGTACTGGTTGACAGCC